AGCATGCAGGGTTCTCGGTTTAGGGCATGGGGGTGAGAGCTTTAGCTTTGGGGGGCGAGGCAGCGGTTTAAGTTTTAGGGTAAAAGCCTTCAGCTCTGGGGGCTTTCATGCTAACTCACCCTTGTCCCCTTCGGCGACGGGGGCTGTAGGCGTTCGCGCAATTGCGAGCACAAGGCTCTAGACAAACATCAGTGGATCATGATGATGATGATGCTGATGATGATGATGAATATGAAGATGAAGATGTTGATGAAGATGAAGATGAAGATGATGGTGATGATGGCGACGACGAGGAGGATGATGATGATGATAATGTTGCTGATGGTGATGATGATGATGACGGTGATGATGATTCCGATTCGAAGCCTAGGCCCATGTGCCTTCAATCACAGCCTCTTCAACTTCCAGAGGCTTAATATAGGGGACTTAGTAATCAGAATAGGGTTTCAAAGCCCACTATACTAGAATTAGAATAAGGAACCCCCAACATAGTATAGGTTTTTATGATTATTTAGGCCCCTATATTTCCAGCCTTTGAGAACAGGGTTTAGGGCAGGTTGAAAATCTAGGAGAACTATAATTCTGCGTCATCTGAATAATCTCAAACCCACGCCCTAGACCTGAGCCCTCTACTCAACAACCCTCGACTCCAAACTCTTCAGTGTCAGCTGTTCTCTGAACTTCTCTGAACCACTGAGTCCCCCAAACCCTTAAAACTCAGCCCTACGCCCGAAACCCGAAACAACAAAAAGCACAGAGACCGACCCTTCAGCGCAGCAAAACCACCCTTCAGCGCAGGGCACGGGCACTTTAGTGCGTTGAAGGGTCGTTTCGGCGTGTGGAAAGGTTAGTTTAAAGGTTCCTATGTGTGGCAGAGCAGTACAGAAACAGAGACCGACCGTTCGGCAGAGTAGTGTTTGTGATTTGTGATGCACTGGTATAGTCTATAGGGACGGCGGGGTGATGGGAACCCTAAGACCCCAACAGAACCGATCCCTTATACCCTTCTGGAACGCCTAACGTAGGCCTTCAAAGTACCCCTTATAGTAGCCTGCTTGTACCCTTCTACGAATGCCATAGTAGTAGCAGCACGTGATAGTGCCCGCGAGCTTAAAAGACTGTGGTACACTACACCCAAAACCCTATTCTGATCGTTTCGGCTCCTGTTTCATGTGCAGGTATGTGTGTATCCTGCCTTTTGCCCCGCACGACCACGTTAACACTCCCTACGACCGCTGGCATCGTCTTCTGGGCATGCGAAGTCGCTGTAGCTCTGTGAAACTGCAGAAACTGGAGCTGGGCGGTTCAGCGTGTGGGCAATCAGGGAGCTTAATTACATGAACTACACCCTAAACCCCAAACCCTAAAACTGTCTGGTTCTTGGAAGGAAATGGGGGACTAGATCCCCATGATAGTCCCTTCAGGGTCCCGTATAGTAGTCCCTATAGCCCTATACCCCATTTCCCCCCTTCCCTACCAAGAACTAGACAGAAAACCTCGGCCCTAAGCCCTAAACCCGAAACCCTGATTCTTATGCTTTGGAGTCCCTCTTAAGCTAATGTAGGAACCTGATTAAGAAACCTTGGGCCTTTACTGGGATTCCTTTAAAGGGGTCTATGAGGGTTACTGTACGGGATCCATAAGTGTACTATAAGAATGTAGGAACCTGATTAAGAAACCCTGGGCCTTTATCGGGGTTCTATAGAACCCTTTAAAGGAATCGATATATAAGGGATCTACAGGAACCTGATTAAGAAACCTTAGTAGGCCTTTATTAGGGTTCCTTATACGAAACATACCAGTTTGGTGTTATAGGCCCAGGCTTCTTAATTAAACAGGTACAATACACCCTTCCTGCCCCCTGGGCCTCGAAATCCCAAAGCCCAAATACACTCTCGCAACGTCAGAGAGTGAAGGAAAAACCCAAATCCTAAACCCGCGGAGCCAGTTGACTCCTCTAATCCTTGTCCCTGAACCCTGAGACCGTGAACCCTTCAATACACTCATACATTCCCGAAAGAAACACCTCTCGAGACCCTGCAAGCCCTACACCCAAAGCTTCACAAGCAACACCGCCAAACGCTAAACCTAAACCCTATACCCTAAACCCAGAGCCCGCAAGCCCTAAGCCTAAACTCCCGAAACCCCAAGCCTAAACCCTAAACCCATACCTGAAACGCTATACCAGAAACCCTAAACTCCCGAAACCCTAAACCGAAACTCCCGCAACCCTAAGCCTAAACCCTAAACCGTAAGCTGAAACCCCATACCCCAAACCCTAAGCTCCCGAAACCCAAACCCCAAACCCTGAACCTTAAACCCCAAACCCTAAACCCTGAAACCTTAAACCCTAAACCCAAAACCCTAACCCCTAAACCCTAAAGCCCTAAACCCTAATCCCTAAACTCCCGAAACGATTTCTGGGAGGCTTTCCGGGAGAGACCCTCAGGGGTAAACCAGCTCCCAACCGGGGGGGCAAGGAAGGAGCGCGCCTTGAAAGAGAGTCGGACTTCTTACAATAGTGTTAGGGTTTAGGGTTTTACGTTTTAGGGTTTTAGGGTTTAGGGGTTTTAGGGTTTTAGGGTTCAGGGCTTTAGGGTTTTAGGGTTTAGGGTTTTAGGGTTTAGGGTTTGGGGCTTTGTTTAAAGTGTTTAGGGTTTACGGTTATTGTAAGCTGGATTGTAGTTTTGCGGTCCTTCAAATGAATAGGTTGAATAGGTTCCTCTGTAGGAATCAGAAGGGAAATTTCGATGCTTCCCAAAGTGCCATCTAGTAAGAGTTTCTAAGGCTTGTACAAGCGTTGTACTAGGGTTCTTTCTGAAGAGGCATTAGGAGTTAGGATTAGGGGGACCCTTGAGGATATCGACCCTATCAATAAGGTGCCTTTTAAGAAAGCCAGAAGTATCAGAAGGGTCCCCTCTAAGGGGTCTCCCTAATACTACCTGGGAGGTTCCCAGGCTTTGGGGTTTAGGGTTTAGCGATGAGCCTGAACCTGTAGACGACACCAAAGCTGACAAAAAAACGAAACCTCGAACCCACAAGGCCCTCAAAGCCCTCGACCCGACAACCCGAAAAGGAAGACCTAAAGCTTTGATCCGTCATCGCCTTCGTCAAGACTTTGGCCTTAAAGTACTCCCCGTACGAGTACATTGGGGCCACTGTCTATAATACTTTTGGGGCACATGGACCGTCAGGGCAAGGGAATGGCAGAGCTTAAAGGTAAGATAGGTGCCTGGCTGGGTCGACTCCGGCGGCGGGGCTGTCTCTTCTTAGTCTCGCTATAGGGACGTAAGGGGGTGGGATCATGATTGTAAACTATGATCATGTCTATGATGAGGATAGCATTTGTGATTGCTAAAACAGCTATCATTCATTATTACCGCCATTATGGCTATCATTGTTCTTAATAATTACAATGATTTACATTCACTATCGCTATTGCCAGTGTTGCTCCTACAATCATTTCACTATTACCATTGTTACTCCTAATAAGTACTACTCTGATTATTACAATTACGATTACCATTACGGTTGCGACTACTGCTATACTGATGTGATTAAGTTTTCCCTAAATGCTAAACCCCTAAACCCTATACCCTAAACCCGATTCCCCAAACCCCTAAAGCCTAAAGCCTTAAACCCTAAACCCCTAAACCCCTAAACCCTAAACCCCAAAACCCCTAAACCCGAAACCCTAAACACCTAACCGCCCAAGCCCTAAACCCTAAACGCTTCAGGTTCTTCGGTAGCTCACTAAACCCCTAAACCCCATAGATCCCTTAAAGGAACCCCTATAGATCCCTTAAAGGAATCCCTTAAAGGAACCGGTAGCTTCACAGGGGAGGCTCCTCCTTCCGGCCTCTCTCTCTCTGCACCTCTGGCCGCCCGGAGCGGCCACGAATTTCAGCCGAGGGTTTCGAAGGCTCCGTCTTGGGGTTTAGGGTTTAGGATCTAGGGGTTCCCTTAAAGGGGATTCTAGGGGTTCCTTTAAGGGTTATTCAAAGGGCTACAAGGGATCTATAACAGGCTTAGGGGTTTAGGATTTAGGGGTTTAGAAGGTTTAGGGCTTAGGGTTCAACGCTTGAAGGGTTTCTGGGTTTAGGGATTGGTTTTTGGGGGTTCAAGAACTAAAAGTTTTGGTTTAAGGTTTAAGGCTTTAGGAGGCCTTCGGGTCATGATGACAGCAACAATAAGACTAGAAACACATGTAAAATAAACGAACATAGAAACACAACAGAGAGTGTTTAATAATGAGACTAAGCATGTGGGGTAGATTGCACTATGCTTATGATGGGAAACCCTACGGAACGCTGTGGAAAGACTAATAATAGTGCAAACACCGATACCAAAGCCCTCCGAGGGCATCCTTGCAGGAATTCGTAAATGAATCTTTCAAAACACCTTGAAACCTTGGGGAGGCCTAAACCTTAGAAGGGGCCCACACCCTGCAATAGTGACTATAAGGATTATATATGACTATATTGGGGCCCTATCATAGTCCTATTATACACTATTACAGGGTGGGGGCAGCTTTTAACCTAAACCCTAAACCCGTAAGGACTCTCGGCCCTTGACCATAGACCATGGAGGAACCCTCACCCTAAACCCTCAACACAAACCCCTAAGCCGAAAACCTCTAAACCCTGAGCATACACCATTAAGGAACCCTTGAAGTGACCCCCCTGAACCCTTACAAGAACCTCGAGTTCGGGCTCCCTAGAGCCTTGAAGGAACCCTTTTGGCACTACATATGGCTGTCGGGCTTAGGGTTAAGGGTTCCTTTAAGGACTCCCAAAGGGTACTATCATCGGGCTTCAACGCTGGAGGTTCAGGATTGAGGAGCCCTTAAAGGAGCACTCTGAAGGAAATATATAGACCCTTAAAGGAGCCCTTCAAGGGCTCCTTTAGACGCTTGAGGGAGCCCTTAAACGAACCCTTAAAGGAACCTTCAGAGGAACCCTTAGAGGAGCCCTCTAAACGCACCGTCGGCTTTCCAGAGCTCACAGGAACCGCGCCCCATGCCGTGAGGCGGCCCTGCGCTGTGGAGCTAACAGCACCTCAGAAGCATAGCTTGAAGGAATCCTTAAAGAGATTCTTGAAGGGAGCCTTGAGGGGAGCCTTAAATGGGATCCTCAAAAGGGATCTGTAAAGGGTTTAGGGCTTTAGGTTTCAGGATTTAAGGTTTAGGATTGGAGGTTGGGGGTTTCGGGATTAGGGCGTAGGGTTTAAGGCGGAACACCTCAGGGGTTTGGGGGTTCGGATGTTTAGGGCTTGAAGGGTTTGGGTGTCAAATTGGGGAGCTTTGGGCATTAGGGGGTCTAGGGATTGGGGCTTTAGATGTTTGGGGAATTAGAGGTTTGGGGTTTTAGGGCTTCAGGGGTTTCGATGTTGATGGGTTTAGGGGGGATCAGGGCTTTAGGATTTGGGGCTGTAGGGTTTAAAGCTTTAGGGCTTGGGGGGTTTTGGGCCAGAAGGCCTAGGACCTAGGCTTTTAGGGTTTTGGCTTTCGGGCTTACTGTTTTAAGGCTTCGGGTCTAGGACTTAGGGTTTACCATTTCCTTTTATGGGGCTGAAGGCTTAGGATTCTATGGTCAAAGGGGAAAAGGAGGGACCCTTAATGGGCTATATAATGGGTATATAATAGCTATATTAAGGGTATATACCTAGGGGTCCTTATTAAGGGTCCCTCCTTTTACCCTTGGATATGAGGTTGGGAGAGGCCCAGCTGCGAGGGCAAGATGAGCCTGTCGGGTGGTGGTAGGGCGGCAACAAGGCCTCTAAACTTGGTTCTAAACCCTAAACCCTGAACCCCTAAGCCCTAAACCCCTAAACCCCTGAACCCTAAACCCCTAAGCCCTAAACCCCTACCCTTAACCCAAAACCCCTGAGCCCTAGACCCTTTAGCCCCCAAACCCGAAACCCCAAACCCTAAGCCGCCTTGTCGGGAGCTTCGAAGGCTTGGGTTAGGTTTCGGGCTTGGGGACTGGGGGACTCAAATATTCTCCCTGAGTCACAACTAGGGTTTAGGGTTTAGGGTTTAGGTAGGTTGTCCCTTAAAAACAGCTCGAATGAGCTGAGGGCTGTGTTGCACACCGTATAGTGCATTTGGGACTTAGGATGGCGCGGAGAAAGACTGCTTTTTCCCTGGTGGAGATTGAACGACTTCGTCGAGGGTCATTTCTATTTATCAAGGGACCATATCGCTCGGGAGGCTAGCGACACACGCTGAGCTTGCAGTGCTCATCTTAAGGGCCAAACCGAGGGCATTGCTGATTCAAAGTTAAGGCCAACGGCTGCTACAGCCGCTGTTGCGACTATCATGAAATTACTACTGCTACTACCACGATGTCCGCACAGACTCAGAAGTACTCACCAATTGTAAGCAGTGTTCGCAAGTTCCTCAATGAGGGACCGTTCCCAAATCTGGTTGACCCCCAGCCCCTCTGTAGAAGTGCGTCGAGGAGCCGCAGGCAGCAGGGGGGCGAGTGTGGCCTCAGCCCGTGAGCGAAAGTGTGGACTTCTAGGCTTCCAAACTTATGAGGGCTTCGTACAGGGATTTCGACTGGACACGAGCATGACCGAACACACCTGAAAGAACTCGTTGTAAAATGTCCCCCAACTGCGTATCGATGATGTCGACCCTTCCTATGCCTAGAAATCCAAAAGAGCTTCGAACACGGTTTTTTCCGGAAAGATGTCATGGAACTTATACATGGATGGTTGTCAAAATTATGGTCCCTTTTCTGGTCCCTAATATAAATACGGCACCTATTATTTAGGGTACCCAAAAAGGAACCCTAATTTTGACAACTACCCACATGTCTTCAGCTCTTTGACTGACATAACAGCTCTTGCAAGACATCCTAGTCGAATCTAGTACAACAAAATATGCTATAATATTACGGCTATAATATTACGTATATAGTGATTGTGAACCCCGTGCAGATTCGGCAAACGACTACAGCTCGGCGTGACCAGTCTTGGACGCATGGCGCACCAGATATGGCTCTACATCCGCTCCCATACCCCAAACACACTCCCACAGAGCCCAATACCCCCTTTAATTCAGTACTATAGCATATATCATAGTATGAAACCCTTTATAGTTTAAGCCATATTCCTCAGTTAAGGGGTCTTGGGCTCTCTCAAGCCTTGCACATCTGCCCTGAAGGCAACGCCCTCAACATAAAGCCTGCAACCCTGACGACCTCAACCCCGAGGCAAAAGCCTAGATCCATCAGAAACCCTTCTAAGCCCAGTGACGGAAAAAAGGCTCGGCTTTCTTGCGGCTCGCAAACTGTAGTTCTAGAGTGTTGCTTTCCTTCGAATTGGAATCTGCATATTTTACTACAGTATTACTTTTCTAAATCATACTATATTTCAAGTAGGTATACATATACATACATACATACATACATACATACATACATATGTTTTAATTTTATATCTATATATATATATATACCTGGGGCCCCGCGCCTGCTCGGGCACCTGGAGGTTGCCCTTGGCTGGTGCCTGCAAGACGGCTTTGGGCCTTCGGTGGGCCTTGGGGTTCGGGGTTTTAAGGTTTTAGGGTTTTGGGGTTTTAGGGTTTTGGGGTTTAGGGTTTTGGGGTTTTAGGGTTTTGGGTTTTAGGACTGTTTTAGGGTTTTAGGGTTTTGGGGTTTGGGGTTTGGGCGTTTGCCGTAGTGTGGCGCATGAGCGGAAATATCTTGCGACAGTGTCATTTCGAGTGCGTCGTAGTATGACGATTGGCCGTTGCAGCCTGATTGTGAGGGCAGGGCTAGAGGGGCCAGTGCGTGCTTCGGGCTTAGGCCTTTGGGTTTAGGGTCCTGGGGTTTGGGGTTCTGGGTTTTAGGGCTTAGAGATTGCAGTTCAGGGCTTCGGTGCTTCTTAAGGTTTTGTGGTTAGGGCGTGGTGCGCGGGATGTAGGATTAGGGTTCAAGCGGAAAAACTGTCCGGTTTGGGTCCAGACCTGTGTTTGAGCGCAGAGTTTCATCGAGGTTGGCGGTTTGAGGCTTGTGGTGCCGGCAAATTCCTGATGGCTGCACTACTACATATGGATGCACCGGCATTTCTGCCCATGGTGTTTTCCCACTAAGACCGCGGACAATATGTCATACGACGTGACCCCGAAACCAATACGGAATAATCGCATCCATAAATGCCCGCCTTCTGCGTGTCAACAACTTTCTTCTTGTCCTCAGCATTCGTCAAGCGCAACAGTTTCTGCATTTGTACTAGTATTGGTACTGGCAGAAGTAGGGGATTTGGCAACTATTGGTATAGTCGTTGGTATTGGCATTAGCATTACGCATTACTAGTGGTATTGGGTCTCTGGCATTGGTATTCGTAGTGACATTTTATAAGCATGTAAGAACTCGATCTTGGTATTGGGTTTTTGCAATTGGTATTAGTAGTAACAGTAACATCGTATACGCATTAGTGATGACATGTCGAACACTACTCTTCATCGTCTTTCTATGGTGGAAGCTCTCGATCTCCAAAAGCCTTCAGGCCGAGAACTCTATGGATTTAGGGGTCCTTTAAAAGGGTTCCTTTAGAAGGGATCTATCAGGATTACTAAAAGGGTTTAGAATTTAGGGTTTAGGGCTTACTGCTGGGGCTTCAGGGGCCCCAGGTTTGGGGCTTGAGGAACTTTGTGCCTTGGACTCCTTGGCTTGAGGCTTCTGGTTTAGGGTTTAGGAGTGCTAAGGTTCAGGGATCAGGCGTTCATTTAATCAGGCGTTGGGGAATATGGAATTGGGATTACAATAACTCCCTGGTGCTTGGTGGGGAATGGAGGAATGGATATTGGAGACTACTATTGGGGACTATTTAAGGGATTTAAGGGCTACTGTAGGGATCCATTCCCCCATTCCCTACTGAGCACCAGGGAGATAAGGGTCTCCGTTTACGTTTACAGTGTTACAGGTTTGCAGCTTACGGTCTAGGGCTGAGGGTATATACTCAGGGCTTGAGTTTTGGAGTTAGGTGACACGTTAATGCTAAAGCTACCAATGTGGGAACCTGATTAAGAAACCTTGGGCCTTTATTAGGGTTCCTTATATGAACCCTACTATTTTGGGCAAGGGTTTCTTAATCAGGTGCCTACATTATACTATGTTACTGTGCCGCTGTAGTGTGATTGCCCCGGAACCCGTCCCGGCCCACCTTTACTACAACCAGGGACGATGCCGCCACTAGAACTCGCTTCGACTACATCTCCTTCGTTTAGTAAGGTAGCTCTCTGGACTAGGGTCCCATTTTCAGGTCCCCAGCATAGTACGGCAGCCTTATAACACCGGACCCAAAATGGGACCCTAATTTATAGAACGGCTCCGCCTGCAGCTGCTCTGCTGCCGCCACTAACCGGCAAACAGTATGAGGATACCCAGAGACTCCAATACCCCTAATGAAAGAATATACCTTAAACTATAATAGGCTCCCTATTATGAGATAAAGTGTAGTCCCTAATTCCCTTATAGAGCCCATATAGATCCATTTTAAGCAACCCTTTAAGGAAGCCTCAAGTATATTCCTCAGTTGAGGGATATTGGAGTCTCTGGGTGAGCAGGACGAGGTGGAGCTGGGGGCTCTTCTGGCCCCACGGTGTAGGGTTTAGCGTTTAGGATTTAGGAGTTAGGGTTTTGAATTTTGGGTTTAGGGTTCAGGGTTTGGGGCTTTGGGTTGAGGGTATATGTAGATCCTAAACCCTAAGCTTGAGCATCCACGACCCCAACAGGATCACCGAGAAGCTCTGTAAAAACCAACCTCAACACCGTAAATAAAAGAAGCACCTCTAGAAACACCAAAAGCAACCCTAAAACGCTTCAAGCGTCGCGCAAGACATCTTCAGAGAAAACAACCCTCAAGACACCCCATTCAAAAACCCCCCCAAAAACTGCGAAATCTGGACTTTGAAGTGTTCCGGCAGGAAGAAGATCAGGCGTTTATTTCATAATGGTTCCCTTTAAGTAGCAGGTCCCCAAAAATCGTTTAAAGTATGGTACTCCAAAGCCCAGAAATTCAAAACAGAACAATCAAAACCCCTAAAACCCCAAACCCCTAAACCCCTAAACCCCTAAACCGCTAAACCCTAAACCCCTAACCCTAGACCCCTCAACCCTAAAAGCCCTAAACCCCTACAGCCCTAAACCCTACACCGTTAAACCTCTAAACCCCAACACCCTAAATCCCCAAAACCCTAAAACCCCTAAACCCTAAAACCCCTACACCCTTAAACCTCTAAACCCCAAAAACCGCCCAACAGGCCGAGAGCTCCCCAGGAAGCTCCCTGAGGCCACGGCATCCGGTTTGCCCACCTTTTCCACCACGGGCTCCGGCTTGTCCTGGCCAAAACCCCCTGTTAGAGTTTGGGGTTCGGGGTTTAGGGTTTAGGGTTGTCCTGGCCGAAATTCCATGAGGTTTTAGGGTTTTTGTCAATACCTTTTTCCGCCTGCTTTAGGGTTTAGAGTTCGAGGTTTCGGGGTTTAGGGTTTACGGTGCAGGGTTTAAGGGTTTAGGGTCCAGGGTTACGGTTTTTTTTTAGGGTTCGGGGTTTAAGGTTTAGGCCTGGCCAAGATGCCCTGAGTATTGAGTAGCTTCCGTGTCGGGAGTTGCGTTAAGAGCTGCTGTTTCTTCAGGGTTGCCAGGGCCCACTGTACGGTTTGCGTGGCTGAGGCTTCAGGGTTACGAAACCCTGGTAGAAGTGGTTATAAGTCCCCTAATAAGGATTATGAGTGTAGTTACCCCACTTATAACCCTACTTATAACTACCCATGAACCTCCAACTAAGGCAACACACTAGAGCCTTTCTAGGGCTCCTTTATATGGCCACGCAACAAAATGATTAAACAGCTATGATTTTGGGGGCTGGAAGGGGTCATTATAAGGGTTACGACAACGGTTAAGGGTTAAGGCGTCAGGACTTTAGGTTTTAGAGCTTTTAAGGTCTCAGGGTTTATATGAACAGAAAGACTCACGGCTCGTATGTAGATGATGTATGCACCGGGGAACAAGTAAGCCCACACATAATGTCATAAATACAAGTAAAAGTATTTTGCAATGAATGCACATAATCGTAACTGTCATGATACAATACGTACTTGGCACTAAACCCTTTCGGCTACGTCCAGAAACCTTAACGACTCTGTACCCTAAACCCCACACCCAGGCCCCAAACCCTAAACTGACCCTTAACCCCTAGATCCAAAATATCCTTACAGAGCCCTTTAGTTAACAGGCTTCTTTTACCCTTCAAAGGAAACCCAAAGCCCTAAACCCAAAAGCCCAAACCCAAAAACCCAATACCCAAAAGCCCTAAACCCTAAACCATAATCCCCCAGCCCTAATCCTGGCTCCGTCCTCCGCTTGCTTGTCATGTGCGTCTGCCTGTCGTGCTGCCTGGTGTCCGGGGCTTCTGGCCTACACCTGAATGCAGAGACTCCAATATCCCTTAATTAAGGAATATACATCAAAGTCTAGTAGGATCCCCGATATGCTTCACGATATATTCCTGAATTAAGGGATATTGGAATCTTTGGGAAGTGGAGTACGGCCTTTCCCAGAGCGTCCCTTAAGTAAAGAATGTAGCTTGCTTAAATCATTTCTTTAAGCGGCGGAAACTTTGGCGTATATTCCTCAACCGAATGGTAATGGATGGGACCTCTGGCTACATGGAGAACCCTCATAGGAACCCTTATAGCGACCCTTATAAGAAGCCCTGAAAGGAACCCATATTCTAATTGTTCACACCTGAAGTGGGGTCCTCATGTAGGAGTCTTGACAATTGCAGTCGTGTTTGGGGGTGCATTGCACGTTGTACAATCATCATATACGGGCTATAAGGCAGAACTGGTTCTAACTATTCCGTCCCTAAGCGACATCTTTATATACAGAAACTTCAGAGGAACTATCAGAGTAATCCTTATAAGAAACCCTAAAAGCACCTCTGTTTCGAGCTACTAAGACCTGAACCTCCACGGAACGGCTTTTAGAACTGCTAGGGACATGGGTCGGTCAGGTGTTAGTCCGTGCTGTTGGCTGCTCCCCGGCTCCCCACATCTGGGGAACAAGCAACAGATTCGTTAGAAGGGGCCCCCGCGCTGTAATAGTGACGGGCCCTATTATATTCCTATTATACTACTCTTACAGGGTGGGGGCCCCTTCTAACAGATTCGATTGAAAAATCAACATCTACGACTCCAAACTCCATGTTCGGGTCCTACCGGCTCTGTTGAACGAGGGAGAGGCCATTGGGAATCTACGTCCTTGTCAGGAGATCCACGCCGAAAGGGAACCGACCTTCCTAAAGCAGGAACCTGATTAAGAAACCTTGGGTCTTTAGTAGGGTTCCTTATATGAACCCTACTATTTTGGGGGGTTATAGGCCCAGTGTTTCTTAATCAGGTTCCTACATTAGCATGTAAGAGCACTTACTGCTTCCTGGGACTTAGTAAATACTTGGAGGTTCATGGGTAGTTATTGGTGGGGTTGTGGGGTTATAAATCCCCTAATAGGAATCATAAGTAACGTTCCCCTACTTATAACCTACTTATAACTACCCATGAACTTTCCAGTAGGGTGATAAGCCCCTTAATTGGGAGTATCAGTAGAGACAAGGATAGTTACCTTACTGATAACCACAGTTATATGCGAAATCCTCTGATCCTTACAGCAAGCTTGTTGAAGAAACCCCAAAAGTTTAGACTTTTAGGGTAAAGCGTTAAACGTGATGTTACCCCAAACCCTTCGTTCTCAGCCCTGCACCCTCAACGGCACGCCCTAAACACCAAATAAATCCTATACTGGAACCGCCAAACCCCAAACCGTACCCGGAATCCGATACCAAAGTAAAACTACACCTGCAATCACATCTAGAACCATCATAGCAGCCCTCATAGTAACCCCTAAACCCTAAACTTTAACCTCTGGCCTTGGCCGGCGCAGCAGCAACCGCCTGCGTGTCGGCCGGCGCCTTTCATCTAACACAGGATCCACAAGGACTCTGTAAGGGATCCAGAGAGATTTGATAAGGGCTCCGTAAGGGCTCCATAAGGGACGCTGCAGGAAATGACCCCAAAGACCGAGGCGTTGGCCGCAAGCCGCAGCGCGGAACCGCAGGGGCGCAGGGCCGCGGGGCCGCGGACCCGGGTTGGTTGCGGGTGCATGGGCCGCCAGGCGTTGGCCGCAGGCCGCGGACCGCGGGGCCGCGGCGCCGCTGACGACAATACATACTACTACCACAACTACCACTGCTACTACTGCTGCTACTACTACTAGTACTAACACTGCTGTTGCTACTACTACTTCTTACTCCTGCTACTACTACTACTACTGCTACTACTACTACTACTACTACTACTACTACTACTACTACTACTACTTCCACTACGACGACTACGAGTACGAGTACGTGTACGAGTACGACTACTAGTACTACTACTACTACTACTACTACTACTACTACCACTACTGCTACTACTACTACTACTGCTACTACTACTACGACTACTACTACTACTACGACAACCCACTACTACTACTACTACTACTACTACTACTACTACAACTACTACTACTACTACTACTACTACTACTACTACTACTACTACTGCTACTGCTACTGCTACTGCTACTGCTACTGCTACTGCTACTGCTACTGCTACTGCTACTGCTACTGCTACTGCTACTGCTACTCTACTCTACTGCTACTACTACTACTACTACTACTACTACTACTACTACTACTACTACTACTACTACTACTACTACTACTACTTACTACCTACTACCTACTACCTACTACCTACTACCTACTACCTACTACCTACTACCTACTACCTACTACCTACTACCTACTGCCTACTACCTACTACCTACTACCAACTACCTTCTCCCTACTACCTACTACCTACTACCTACTACCTACTACCTACTACCTCTACTACTACTACTACTACTACTACCACTACTTACTACTACGACTGCTACTACTACTTCTACTACTACTACTACTACTACGACCACTACTACGACTACTACTACTAATAATAATAATAACAATAATAATAATACTAATACTATTACTATTACTATTACTAATACTAATACTAATACTAATACTAATACTAATACTAATACTAATACTAAGTCCTCGTAGTAGTAGCAGTAATAGCAGTAGTAGCAGCAGTAGTCGTCGCAGTAGTAGAAGTAGTAGTAGTAGTAATAATAATAATAACAATAGCACGTAGTAAGTAGTAAGTAGTAAGTAGTAAGTAGTAAGTAGCAAGTAGTAAGTAGTAAATTCAGTAGTAAGTAGTAAGCAGTAAGTAGTAGAAGGCTAGCACTACTATACGCTGAAGCTGCTGCTGCTGCTGCTGCTGCTGCTGCTGCTGCTGCTGCTCGTGCTGTTGCTCGTGCTGCGGCATTTTTTGGGCACTGACTATTGTCAGCAAAGTACCCGCAGATGCAACAGCCCGCAATGATAGCATGGTTTGGAGCTTTAAAGCAGATCCGCTGATATTTGAGGTTCTGATGCCAACTTGGTCGACCGTTCTGGGTGCAAGGGTCATTTTTGTGCCTCTGCCACTGCCGGTGGCGGAAGGTCTCAGCCAACTGAGCCGGAAGCTTTGTCGGGAGTTCTCAAAGTAGATGAGTGGCTATCGGGGGTCTTGACGCGAAGTTAATCAGCGGCTCGCTGGGCCTGTTTTCCCAGCACACAGACTGTCAAAGTCGACCTGGAGGCCACACCTGATTATGATGTCCCTCGGGACAGCAGCAGGACAATGAAGACGGAGACCACCCGCAGCAGCAGGAAAGGCAATCGAAGCAAAGTGCTGTTAACGTGGCGTGCGTGAATGGTTGCACAAGGCTGTGCAGCGCGGATCCCTCGCAGAACAAGACTGAAAGAACAGCAAGTTGAAATAGTCGGTTGGCGCCTTGGCGGCTGCAGTACTCCGGACCGCCTGAAGCAACAAGCCGCGAAAGCACAAACGTGTCGGCCTTTGACCGGGCAGGCATCAAGGAATGAGCGCACGGATTTTGAGGCAAAGTGCGGCAGGGTAACTATATAGGCGCTTCGCATGCAGGCAGGCGTTCCGCCGACATTGATTACATGCACTTATAGCTCCTGCACAAGATCCACCCAGCACTTCTGGGCTGTTTGAGAGAAGCTACCTCCGGCCCTCGGGCGGGGTAGCCTCCATGGGATGCAAAGCTTCAGCGCCCACTTCGGGCACTGAAACCTCTGCGCGAGGGACCTCGTTCACGAACTGAGCTCTGCGTGCGCTGAGATCGCAGAGGGTTACTCTGACAGCACTCAGGAGCTCGTTGTGAAACAAAATCTGATTCCGCGAGGACGCACTCCAGGACAAAAGCTGGACCGCGTCCGGCTTCTCAGGGTGCCAGCGCAAGAGGCGCGGGAACTGGTCCACCGCAACGTCAATGACTTTCTTCATCTGCAGGAATATGCGCCGAAAGGCCAGGGAGACATATGGGCAAAGTACTTCAGCAGAAGTCATGTTCAGGCCTGGCTTGTGGCTTCGTGGGGCGAAAACGCTTTCGTCCAACCTTCGGCACGCTTGCCGTCTCCGCCCCGGCCGGGGGCGCTTGGAGCCTTTGTCCTTTTTCTCCACGGAGTACATGTTCAATTCAATGCTGCCTGGCTGGGAACCCCGCAAGGGGACGTAGCAGTCGCACGCATAACATGCTGAGGAAAACGCAAGCACAAGCACAAGCTCAGAAACAGGACAACTGAAGTACAAGGCTGGCCTCTGCCGCAGAGAAGCATCTTTCTCAGGAGGACGCGATCTAGGAAGAGTTGCTCTCCCTCCACCTTGTCGAAGATCATCGCTCCTCTCGTGCCCAAACCCACCGCATCAAAAGCCCCTTGGGCGGGCAATTCACGTAGGCGCAAAGGTACCTTCTTGGAACAGGGAAGCTGCGACAAACATGCAGGTCACAACTTGTCACCACCTTTCAAGCATAAAGGGGACAGTCGCACGTAGCCTCAGCCATGCATTGCCCTACGTTTCAGCCCAGGGGCAGGCTCTTCTGAGCCATCGTCGTTCGGCGTATGCATAACGCCTTGGGCAGGAATGTGAAGAGAGACTCCTGCGTCGGGTCCATCAACGTGGGAGCAGGCTCCGCTTGCTCCGGGCGTCTTGCAACCGCGGCTGCAGCCGGCTGCGTTGGTGCGGCAGAGCCAAAGGCTCCCGTCTCAGTGTTGCCCCTGGCCAGATGCTCATGGAGGTCCTCGCTAGCGTCGCTGTCCGTAGCCTTCCGAAGACTCGTTTCAAGTGCAAACATGTACAAAATCGAGCGGACAAGCCGACAGCAAGCAGGCCTTGTCCTGATGACGCTGAGGCTGCAGAGGCCCTCTCCAAACTTCGCGATACCCCAAAGGTGACCTGCACCAGGCGCCAAGCCAACTGAACATGCTTCGCTGAGACGAGAACATCCTCCGCCCCAGCTCCATATTCGAGAACAGCCAGCAGTGCCGCAAGCACTCCCTGCTGCCGTGCAGCGTTTGCATGCAGCGCAGAAGTGGCCACATTGCCTTCACTAGCCGAGGATCGCACACTTTGTGCCACTTGATTACCTGCATTGTCTGGACAGGGCGTGGACAGACCATCCAGAGCCTCTAAACTGTTTCACAAACGCACCAACACAAGCCAAGCGGCCAAGCAGAAGACGACGAGCCTCTTCCGTCAGAAGGAGGACGGACGAGTGTGCGGGTGGCCTCTCCATCGTCGCTGGCTGTGTCAGCAGGCTTGCACTTTGAACTCTGGATATGCAAGCGTGACAAAGCTCAAGGTTGTTGTCGGACTTCAGGCCGTAGTGTTTTACAACACGGTCACGAAGATCTCTTCGCGGCTTTCTCAGTTTCGTGAACAGCTGACGGCACACTTTGCACTTTGCACTGTCGTCGCCGCTGATGAGCCTGGCAACACAAGAACCGCAGCTGGGAGCTGGGCTTTCACTTCCGGTGTGGGACATGTCGAGTAGGGTATGATGCAATTTTGCACTACGGCCAAATGAGGAATATGCAAGTCAAGACTTTCACAGAAACCCGACAACGGCTCGGGCCTTCTTGGGAAAGCCATCGTCACCCACCATGCGGCAGCAGAGCTCCGGCCCTCGAGCCCTCTCGTCTTGAGCGCTTCGCTCGGAGATACGAAGTTTACACGATCCATTTTCCGTGTCTACTTCTCAATGGCAACTCTGAAGTCTGTACTTCCTGCTTGAAATCCTGCGTAGAGCCTCATGGGGAACCGAGACTTAGAGCCATCTCAAGTTGCTTGTCTTTTAACATGCTTGTCGGTATTAACCTGAGGAGGAACCGGCCGGTCATAGCGAGGACTGCTGCCGCTCGCCGACCTCTCCCCATGTTTTCTATAGCAGACTCTCGCATGCATTGTTCGTGTTGTCATGTGACTCACACCACTTTGCATCCACGTCGAAGTGCAAGCACGCTGTACTACTACTACTACTACTACTACTACTACTACTACTACTACTACTACTACTACTACTACTACTACTACTACTACTACTACTACTACTACTACTACTACTACTACTACTACTACTACTACTACTATTTTTTCAATTGAACGCTGTGCGAGCGGGCTCTGCACATAGCGGGCGATTGCCGCGGTGCACTCACTTTGGTGTGAAACTGACTCAGACCCTATAGCTGATCCGCCCAGGTCAAAAGACCTTTGAGTGGTTGCGGCCTACAGGCTTTGAGCTAACTGGCAGTGATCAGCCAAAGCGAGTTTGCAGGCTGCAGGGTATCAAGCTCCAGATTGTTGTATGTACCTGAACATTGAAACGGAATTCGCGTTGTGTATGCTGTCAGCAGAGCAGCAGTAGCGCGACCGGCAGCAGGCTAGGGCATGATTTCCGACTGACAGCGGCGGCATCCGGCAGAAGGGCCATCAGTCTGTCTCGGAAGAGACGCAAGTGAGAACA